CCTGAATAATTAATTGGGGTTTAAGTGTTGACACTGCTTGCATTTTTGCAAATATACTATGTATTTTACAAAAACATTTTTAACATTTTTTATATGTTTTTAACAAGAAATGGATTAAGTTTGATTATAAACAATAGTTTTCAGTTTTTCTAAAGGTAATAAATGTTTGACAGTAATTTAGAGAACTGAACAAAAAATAAAGTTTTTGGATATTTTGAAAATTAGATAGCTTTTTAACATCAATTTGATATTAGATGGAAGATCAACCTCAAATCTGGATGCAAAATAGCCATGCATATCAGCTTTCATCTCCAAATAGTTTAAAGTCAATCAAAATGGTGATACATAATTATGCTCAAAATATTAAAAACGATGCACTTGATAACAAAATAGAACAAAATAGAAATTTGGTCATCAACCGACCCACTCATATCGGTTACCCAATCGTTTCAACTCAACCTGAGGCTTCGGGAATATTTCAACTGATCGACCAATCGACCCTAGTTATATTCAACCGATCGATCACGTGTACGAATCGATCGGCCAGGTTATCCGACCGATTGGTTGATGATGTGCAGAAAATGGAAAGTTTGCATTTCTTTGGATATTTCGCCACTAACAAGTAACAACACATATTCACCTTAGTTGACCTCTTTACTTATATAAATATCAAATAATCACAAAAAAACTAGTCACCATTCTAGGAAAGCCACCACTAAAAATTTCATTGTTTTTTCATAGTTTTTGGTTTGAGAATTTACTACTTTTTGGTTTGGGAGAAAATTTCATCCTTGCATCTTTACTAAAAGTTGTTTTCTAAACCCTATTCTCTTTTAGTCATCATAATACTATGTTTATCTTTGTTGTTGTTACTGCTTCTTTGATGAATATTTGTGAATAGTCATTGGTTGAGATGAAGGGATTGGGAGTATCATAGTTTGGTAGATAGTTTTATGATTTTAAGGTGGTGCTAAGTAGAATTATATCATTTGTCTTTCTAGCCAATACATCATATTGCAAGTTTGATCACCTATTTGATCTTAGGATAACATTGCTTGTACACTACTTAATTGTTATTCTGAAAAAAAAATTGATAGGTTGGAGTTTTTAGAGCAGCTAGCGCTATCTCTAAGGGCCTCAATGAGAAATAAAATTTGTTTATTCATTTGATATATCATGGTTTTTATGGTTTTTAACCATGGTATAAGTCTTTTTTATTGAGTCTTTTTGGACTTTTTAGAGTCCTAGTAGAGTCTTTGTAGGTTATAGCATGACTGGAGCACAATTAGAAGTTTTGGAGCTTTTTGGAGCATTGCAAGAATCAACCCCGAAGTTATCAACTCGGAAGCGTTATATAGGCATTGGTGACGATCGTCACCACTCAAGGGTGACGCTCGTCACCCGCACTTGAAAAGGAGTCGCTACTTTTAATAAAAGATGGAGAGGAGATTGCATCTTTGGCCCATAAGTTCCACTATTTGCAAGATGACCACAGCTCGTGTTTTAGCTTGTACATTAGGTTTTTCAGCCATTGTTGGCGTACCCAAGAGGCAATATTCAACCAAAGAGGAGACTTAGACAGGGTGATCTATTATCACCTTATCTTTTCATACTCTGTACAGAAGTTTTAATTGCTAATTTGAAAAAAGCAGAAAAGGATAATCTAATAACTAGAATGAAGGTTGCTCGAGCTAGCCCAGCGGTATCGCATTTGTTATTTGCTGATGATAGTCGGTTTTTCTGTAAGGCAACACAATCGGAGGCGACTGTATTTTTGCATCTTTTGAAGCAATATGAATTAGTTTCGGGTCAACAAATAAATTTTACGAAATCCTCGGTTCAATTTGGACACCAGGTGTCACCGATGACAAGGGAAGCCCTACACGACGCATTAGGCATTGCTAATATTGGGGGAATGAGTACATATTTGAGATACCAGAGAGTCTGGGAGGGGCAAAGACAAAAGTTTTTAATTTTATCCTAGAGAGACAGCAAAAACGGGTAAATGGCTGGACATCTAAGATGTTATCCAGAGGGGGGAAAGAAGTTCTCATCAAATCAGTGGTCACAGCAGTTCCGACTTATACCATGTCCTGCTTTAGATTACCAAAAACCATAACTACTAAATTAACGAGCACTGTAGCCAAATTCTGGTGGAATAAAAACGGTCAAACACGAGGAATGCATTGGATTGCTTAAAACAAGTTGTGTAAATCCAAATCTGAAGGTGGCCTTGGCTTCCGAGTGATAGAGGATTTTAATACAGCTCTTCTGGCCAAACAATTATGGTGACTTATAGAATTTCCGGACTCGCTCTTTGCAAAGGTGCTCAAAGGGCGATACTTCAGGAACGGGTCACCACTAGACCCGATACGGTCGTATTCTCCATCGTTTGGATGGAAGAGCATCACATCAGCTAGGTCTTTGGTACAAAAATGGCTCATCAAAAGAGTTGGATCAGGCCATTCTATCTCTGTATGGAATGACCCATGGATTCTATCCTCACGCCCGAGATCAGCATCATGCAAAGGGTATAATTATTACTCAGAGCTAACAGTCAATCAATTGATTGACCCTGCAACCTCAACGTGGAATATACCACTACTTCAGCAATTGGTAGATCCCGAAGACGTCCCTTTAATTACTGGACTAGCAACGACACGGGAAAATCGACAGGATAAATAGGGATGGAATTTCACAAAGACAGGAAGATACCCTGTTAAATCGGGATATCTGACATCACAACTTTACCCGGATAAGGAATTCCTACGATGGTATGATCCAGATATTAGTCATATACAGGCACAGGTGTGGAAAGTTAAACGTCCGCCAAAACTGAAACACTTCATATGGCAAGCAACTTCTGGCTGCTTAGCGGTAACTGCACGTCTTCAAGCTAGGGGAATTAATTGTGATCCTCAATGTAGCAGATGTGGCACGGATAAGGAAACCATAAACCATACATTATTTGAATGCCCCCCGACATTCCAAGTATGGACGCTCTTGCCAATACCTACACCTTCACACAGATTTCCAACGGAAGCATTGTACTCTAACATGGCATATTTATTCTGGAATCTCCCAAATCATGAGGATATAAAGGTATACCCTTGAATATTGTAGTATATCTGGAAAATGAGGAATGACAAGATATTCAAAAATATAGACCAAGACCCACAAGAGGTTGTCAAGATTGCAATGGCAGAAGCATATGCCTGGGATATGGCGCAGGCGGAGGACATAGAAATACCCGTTCCACAAAGTACACAATGCGTGAGACAGGTCAGGAATGAGATTATTTGTTATACAGATGGATCGTGGAAACATGATGTTACAAGTACATGATTAGGATAGTACAGTGAAGGTGCAGATCCTATGAGCATGTTAATGGGGGCCCGTAAGATAGGCAGGAGTTTAACACCATTGCACACAGAGTTGGAGGCACTGATCTGGGCAATGCACTGTATGCTTGATGTTGGGAGATATGCAGTGACGTTTCTAACTGATAGCTCAGAGTTATTGGAGATGGTGTCCAAACCAGATCAATGGCCGGCATTCACATTGCATTTGGAAGAATATGAAGTAACAAGAAGGGAGTTTAATCTTTTCTCTATTTCAAAGATTCTTCGCGCGCAGAACACGAAAGCGGACAAGTTAGAACGAAGTGCTCGAAACCATCTTTATCATCTATACTATATTCACTCATCTCCTCCTGATTGGATAACACCATTCTAGATTTTATTAGGCTGTTGACAAAAAAAAAAAAAGATTAGATTATAAATTTTGTTGTATGTGTGAAAGTATATTGAAAACAAAAGAGAAAATAAAAAAGTAGAAAAGAAAATAAATATTATTTCTCATTTGAAAAACCAATGAAAATATGTATACATGTCATTTTAGCAGTAGTTTAGAAATTAAAATTTAATTATTTATTTATTACATCTTTAGAAGCATAAAGGATATACTAGTCAATTAACATAGTTAAAATTAGCCGTTAACACTTAACAACGTAATGATTAAAACTGCTTTAGAAAAGAAAAATCGGATTTGGAATTTCCATTTTTAGTTACTCTACTCCACATCTCCAATCTCTCTATATATTACACAAGCGATCAAATTCATTATCCACTCGTTATTTTCCCTCTGAGGCTTTCAATTAAAATTAGGGTTTTTTTGCTCGATTTCTATTCTGTTGATTCTTACACATTGGGTTCGTGTCGTCGTCGTCATCTTCTCCTGGTTTAGAGATAACAATTAAGACACAAAAGCTATGGCGTTTACGAAGCATGTTACTAAGCAATTCTTTCGACTTTTCAATAAAATCATACGAAGAAACAAAGTCTCATGTCTCAACGAAGAGAAGAAGAGGAAGAAGAAGCTTCACTTAGTCCTTGATTTGGACCACACGCTTCTCCACACGGTTCTTGTTTCACAGCTGTCTCAGAAAGAAAAGTATCTACTCGAAGAAGTCGATTCAAGGACAGATCTATGGAGTTTCGACGAAGGCAATTCAGACGACTTATTCATAAAGTTGCGACATTTTGTTCGTGAGTTTCTACAAGAAGCCAACAAGCTTTTCTACTTGTATGTTTACACAATGGGAATCGCGATTACACTAACACGGTGTTGAGTTTGATTGATCCGGAGAAGATATACTTTGGAGATCGAGTGATAACGAGAGAGAAGAGTCCTTATAGGAAGACACTTGATCTTCTTGTGGCTGATAAGCGTAGAGTGGTGATTGAGGATGACACGAGAGAAGTTTCGCCTCAGCACAAGAGAAATTTGGTGGAGATCAACAAGTACATCTATTTTAGAGAGGAGAAATCTTACGCAGAGAAGAAGAGAGACGAGAGTCGAAGCAAAGGAGCATTGGCTGATGTTCTGAGACTCCTGAAAAGGGCCCATAGAAGATTCGAAGATGAGTTTGATTCTAAAGACTTGAGGCTGTTCTTTTATATTTGATGAATATTCCGTAAAAGCATGTATCTGAAATAGTAATGAAGTTTGCAATTTCTCTATCCACAATGTTATCTTTCAGAAGCTACTTAGACAATTTTAGAAGATCATCTAACTTAAGAGCCTTAAGGGTTTGTAGATAATAAGGATTAAGGGTTTATTTAAAAAACAAAAAGATACACATAAACATAATGACAAATGCAAACAATCAATCAAAACAAAAACAGCAATGTGTTAACTTTTAATATAGCAAGTTCTCAGAGCCACATAGGTTTTGTTTCTTGAAATTTGATCTGGCCGGAAACTGATCGGTCTCGTCCTTTCTTGTACTTTCTTACTTCCCCAAGACCTAACCCAGGTTGGTTACATGTAATGTAACCGCTCCTCTTGTTGGTCGAAAAACTAAGAAAACAAAACCTGTAGGCTCAAAGCTTTTTCTTTAACTCCAACACCACACTAGTACTAATCCTGCAACAAAAATTAATGTATATATATATTCTGATTTCTGATGAGATCAATTTAGAGCTTAGAGCTGATGATACAAATAAAGACAATGAAGTTGTATTACCTTTCTCAGTTTTCTGCAGCTGGAGTTTCGTCCTCTTGGGTCATTGTCTCAGACTCAGACGGTTCCTCTTCATCAGGTGGCAGCAAACCTTCTTTTGCTTGCAACTTCACAAACTGTTTGCTTCGAGCTAATCTGATTGGTCTTCCCATGAAATCCTGCGTAATGTTATTAGAAACATGCAATTAACTCTTCTGTTCTACAAATTTGAGATTATGGTCCATATCACTTTAAGTATCTACCAACATAACTGCTCAGAGAAACCCATTTCTAAAGTTCTCTCATTGATGCATAAAGAGTCCAACAATATTCGGTTTATCGGGTCAATATTCACCTAACTGATATGCTTATAATGCTTAGCTAATTAGATCAACATAATTTATAGTCACAAAAACACAACACTCTTGTACTATAGAATAAAGACTAGAAAATTTGGTTCACAGGTCCATTTATGGTCCTTAAGCTCACATGGTATCAAAACCACAGCAACAAAAAACTCGAAAAAAAAAACACTCTCTTGGACTTTGGATTCCATTGATCCATTCATCAACTAAACTCAAGATTTCACATAACTGATAAGCTTACAATGCTTTTAAAGCAAATTAGTTTCACTATGATAGAGTAGCTCAAATGGTATCAGAAACTCACAAAACTTAAGCCAAAACACAAAGAGACTCCTGTACTTTGGATTCACTACGGCAATATTAGCTTCAATTTTGCTCAAGATTGACCAAACTGATGAGAGCCTAGAATGTTATTAGACGCAATAATTCGATAATTATCATTTAGAGCTAGCTTGGATTTACCTTTCCTTGGAAGTCAACAAGCGCTGCATCAGCCATTTTCTTTGTTTTGAAAGCGACAAACCCATAACCACTCGACCTCCTCGGATTTTCATGGAATATAACTTCAGTGGACACAACGTTCCCAGTGTCTGCGTCAAAGAACTCCTTGAGATGCTTGGCTCTTGCTTCAAATGCCAAGTTTGCAACAAACAAATTGAACGTAGGCACCGGCGTAGGCTTCTCACGGGGCGCATACGTTTTCTTTTTTTTGGTCTTCGCATAGTCTACCTTCAAACGACGACCCTCGTATTCCTGAAAACGACACACAGTTCAAAAGGAAAATTGAAGATCAAAGAAGAGAGAAAGGGACCAAAATAGCACAATGTACAACTTGTGATAAAGTAGAGCCAAACACAATGATTTAAGTCTTAGAGATTGAGAAAGAAAAATGCTATGTGCTTACATACGATTTAATGGAAAAATGAAGATCCAAGAAAGAGAAGAGCCTAATAACATAACAAAATGTACAGCTTCTACTAAAGCAGACCAAGAAAATATGAGGCAAACACAATGATTCTGTCCCGATTTAGAGATGGAGGAAGAGAATGCTATGTGCTTACATACAATTCAATGGAAAAACGAATATCAAAGAAAGAGAAAGGGACTAAGAAACAACAAAATCACAGCCTGAAAGAGCCTAATAACAAAATGTGCAACTTCTCTTAAAGTAAAGTAAGTTAAAATGAGACAAACACAACGAAATGAGAGAAATATATCAATGATTCTGTCCCAAGTTTAGAGATTGAGGATGTGATTACATACTATTCAATGGAAAAAAAAACGAAAATCAAAGAAAGATAGAGGGACCAAGAAACAACAAAAACACAACCTGAAGGAGACTAATTACACAATGTACAACTTCTGCTAAAGTAAAATGACACAAACACAACTAAATGAGAGAGCCATCTTAATGATTCTCTGCCCAAATTTAGATATGGAGGAAGAGAAAGCTATGTGCTTACATACGATTCAATGCAAAAAAATGAACATCAACGAAAGAGAAAGGGACTAAGAAACAACAAAACACAACCTGAAAGAGCCTAATAACACAAATGTATAACTTGTGCTCAAGTAAAGCCAGACAAAAATTGGAGAAACACAACCAACGAGAGACCTATATCAACTAAATGATTCTCTGTCGCAATTTCGAGATGGAGGAAGAGAAAGCTATGCGCTTACATACGATTCAATGGAACAATGAAGACCAAAGAAAGAGAAAGGGACCAAGAAACAACAAAAACACAACCTGAAAGAGCCTAATAACAAAATCTAAAACTTTTGCTTTAGTCAGATAAAAATTAGAGAAACACAACCAAATGAGAGAACTATATCAATGATTATGTCCCAATTTCAGAGATTGAGGAAGAGAATGCTATGTTCTTACATACGATTCGAGAGCTTTAAGAGCTGTTGCAGCTTCTTCAGGAGAAGCCATTTCGATGAAAACCAAACCTCTATTCCTTTCCTTCTTATGCATAGACATCTACAAATCCAAAGCAAAACTAATCAATTAGTAGAAAGAAGAACAAAACCAAAAGATTCAAGGTTCGGAAAGAACAAAGGAAACGAGAAAAAAAACCTCAACGTCGACGACATTCCCGTATTTCTCGAACAACGACCTTATGTCTTCAGGTGTAGAGGTCCATGGAACGTTCTGAGAAATCAATCTGGTTTTAGAAATCTCTTCCTCAGTAGAAGAAGAAAAATAATAATAAGAAGAAGAAGAAGATTCGAGGATTGGCTCTTGGGTAGTAGCGGAGAAGTAAGTGGTAAGATTTCTGCATTTTGCTGGAACTGAGTCTAGAAACGTCCCATGAAGAGAGAGTGAAGCAGTAGACCAGTTGAGAGAGAAATTGCTTGGCGAAAGTCTGGGATTTGAGAATTTTTGGTCAGATTGGTGACCTAGAATTTGGAGGGAAATGGGAGGAAGACGAAGAAGAGCCATTGGAGCGAGATAGAAGTTTGGATAAGAAAAGGACTATGAAACTGGGTTTTATTTGAGGTCGGTTACGCAACGACATCGTTTTAGAAGCAGTAACTGTTAAACAACTGCGTTTCGAGATCAGTGCTCTACTGCTAATATTTTTGGAAGATACTAGGTCTTTATCCGCGCTATGCTGCATAATATTTTTCTAGATTTATATATATTTTTAATATAACAAAATTATTTATATATTTTAAATGAGTATTATATTTATTTTTTATTATTTTAAGTTATGTATTTATATGTTTTAAATCTGAATAAACATTATATATTATTAATTTTTTTATTTTTTAAAATTATAATCTACTATCAAATTTGTTTAGCTAACTATCTATAAATGTATATGTAAGAATAAAACAATACATTTTAAGCACCTTCAAGCTAATGGTAGATGTAATTTATTTTCTCTACTAAATTGCTACTTGATCCTCCTTTAAAATTATATAAAGCAAATTACCATTTAAAAAAAATATTAATTAATATGATTATTTTAAATTATAAAATTTATTTATTTATCAAATATTTATTATAGACATATGTTTCTAAAACTACCAAACTATAATCAATAACATTCATATCAAAATCATACTATTACTTTAGAACTAAATAGAAAGTTCTATTTGAACCGTTGAAATATCAATTTAGTTGAAGTTAAATAATTTAATTTTGGTCTATAAACATATTATAATTTGAAAATTTATCACAGAAAAATTTTATTTTTTTACAAAAACCGAGAAATTGCATTTTCCGCCAAAACCAAAAAAATTCATTTTCTCGTCAAACCTGAAATTTCATTTTCCTACCAAAACAAAGAAATTGCATTTTCCCTCAAAAACCAAAAAATCACACTTTCCCGCGAGAACCTGTGTTATTCCGTCAAAACAGAGAAATCAAGTTTTTTCACCAAAACCAAAAAAATTCATCTTCCTGCAAAAACAAAAAATAGTATTTTTCCGTCAAAACCCAAAAATTATTTTCCCGCAAAAATCGAAAAATCGTCTATTCCCACCAAAAAAGAAAAAAATTATTTTTCTCTTCAAATCAAGAATCACGCCTTCCTACCAAAACTGATAAACTACAATTTTCCGCAAAAACCAAAAACTGCATCATCTCCTAAGAAATTGCGTTTCCCACGAAAATTAAGAAATCATATTTTCCCTCGAAAACCAAAAATCAAATTATATGTCAAAAACTGAAAATTTGCATTTCCCATCAAAACCAAGAAATTGTTTATTCTCGCCAAAATCGAGAAATTTTACTTTTTTATCAACCCGAGAAATTGCATTTTTTGCCAAAATTGTCAAATTACAATTTTTCGCAAAAATCAAGAAATTACATTATCCATCAAAAGCCGAAAATTGCATTTTCTATCAAAACCAAGAAATCATATTTTTCGTCAAAATTGAAAAGTTGCATTTCCCTCGTATTTTCTCGTCAAAATCAAATTTTTTATTTCTCACTAAGACCAAAAATTCACATTTTGCCGCCAAACCCGAGAATTTGCTTTTTTCCGCCATAACCGAGAAACTATGTTTTCCTACCAAAACTGAAAATCACATTTTTCTACCAAAACCAAGAAATACTCTATTTCCGCCAAACTCAAGAAAATTTGTTCTCGATAACCAGTGGAAATGCGAATCTCCAAGCTGTGGTGATCTGAGTTTCTCCTCGTTTGCTTTCGCCTTCCATTTTTTTTTGTAAACTTTGGGCTTTTTAATGGGTCAGTAAAATAGTAAATTGATTTTATTAGTGTGTTAATAATATGTATTATTGTTATATTTTTATTGATTCAAATTTTTGCTGATGTGTGAGTTTCTTATAACATAACGCTTTTTGCATTGTTGTTGAAGCATAGTTGATGATGAGTCTACACTTTCTTCAATCATATACGTCTCTATCAAGCAAACACATAGTTAGCAATTTTAATTTTTTTGCTGTTATTTATTATTTGAGTTTTGGTTTGGCAAAAATATAAAACCAAGATTTAATTTTATTATTTGTTGTTATTTATTATTTGAGTTTGTTAAAAAATAAAAGATTTTTTTTTATTTGCTGTTATTTATTATTTGGGCTTGGGCTTGACCAAAAAATAAAACTAAAATTAACAATAAAAAATATTTGCGTTTTTAATGGGTTTAAATTTAAAAATTAAAATAAATTGATGACTTGTATTAATGAAATGTTTTTATTGGTATTTTTTTTTTTTGCTGAAGTGTCATCTCCTAAAAGCTTGAAAATGCTGATGTGTCAAGCCATGGAGAGATTTATGGGTTATTGTTGTGTTGATTACATAAAAACTAAAAAATCACTTCGATAAAGTGCAATATAAAAAAAATTTACTTAAAAATATTGAATTACTTTATGCATATCTTGTATAAAAAGACAAAACTATTATAGATACAGAAATTCATACTAAGAAATTTATGTGTTTTGTAAGGAAAGAAACTTAGAAAAATTGAGGGCTAGATTCTCTCGAACAAATTGACAATATAAGCTAGCAATAACTGAAATAAGGACTTTGTATTAATTGGTCGAATGAAACAGTTACAAGTATTTCGATGGAAGAGATGAACTGAAAAGAGCTCCATGAGCAGTTACAGAGTTTTCAGGTGTAAAAAAAAAAGTGTGTGAAAAGATCAAGCCGAAGATCCTCTGAGCTAAGCCGTTCTCTTTCCTTATATAGCTCGCCTCGTCGAGCTTTGAACTCCGGCGCGTATCTCGGCCACGTGCAGCAGCCTTAGCCGGATATCTCGCCACGTGCAGCAACTTCCTCCACGATCTTTGGACTGGTTCGAATGGCGAGAATATGCTCTGACTTGGCTCGGATTCTTCCTCATTTTTCGGGATTTGGTCGAGCTGGAGCTCGACCTCGTCGAACAGAACAGATCTTTGCTCAGGATCGGGTTGTCGAAAGGTGAATGGGCCTGGGCCGTAAAGTTGAAGCCCAGCCTTTTAGGCTTAGTTCAGATCTGCCCGTTGGGCTTGAGTGGGCCGGATTTGGGGTGCCAAATCCAGCTCCAACAATTGCCCCCCAGCCCATTAACGAGAGCGAGCTCGGGCTTTAATGGGCGGCAAGATGGGACTTTTGAAAGATTCGATGTTTGATTATGCTGACGTCACGGAGTCAGATAATCATTCGAGATCGACGGTTCAGATCTTGGAAAGGTGAACAGTTTATTGATCGTGTGGTAGAGAATTGACCTCGAGACCGTAACTTGGCGTGTCGAGATAATTCTGTTATTATCTCGTCATGTGGACGATCGAGATTCGAAGTAAATATTATCATTTACTTTTCTGTTTCAGCGGTCGAGCTTCCCGGGGTAAGGTGCATCCCTCGAGAAGATTCGTACTGAAACTTGATGACGTGGACAGTCTGGATGGGGAGAGAGGAAGTCGATCTGACGGCCTCGATCAATCGAGCTGTATAGCGAGTCAAATCATCAAAGTCGGATATTCGACGGTTAGGATAGGAGGATCGGACGGTCGTGATTGGTGTGTAGCCAGATTTTCTGCGATCTTTGAGGTTAATAATAATTACCTCGATATAAAGTCCACCTTCTCCACTCCTTCTTTAACCGCATCAGTTCGTCGATTAAAGGTAACCTCCTCTTTCTCTTTCTTTTTATTTTCTGCAACTTCCGCTTTTCGTAGTTTTCAGAAACTGTTTGCCAAGTTTTCCTTTAGAAAAGCTTCGAATTTCATCCTTTTAGTTTTCTGGGTTTAGCCTTTGTCGCTTTCTTCCTCTTTTCTTTTCCGATGTCGGCTATAGTGAAAGTTGAGGGAGAGAAATCCGGGAGGACCGCCACAGGTCCTTCCAAGATCGACCAGAAAGCCCTCGATGACTTCCGTCGAAAATGCAAAATCCCCGACGGGGTAGAATTGGCGGTCCTATCGCCAGCGGAGACTCCGGCGAGCGTGGAGCAGGGTTTTTGTTTCGCATACGCGACATATTTTCGGGACTGCAGGTTGTTCTTCCCAATCCCCCGGTTTGTCCTCGAGGTGCTGGCGGACTTGCGGCTGGCTTTCCCGCAGATGTGCCTGAACTTGGTCTGGGCCATCATCGGATGTGCCGTGCGAGCCAAAGAGGAGAACGTCATCTTTCGTTACTCGGATTTGAGGGCGTTCTTCTCCGTCAAGTACAACGCCCGCTGCCCCGAGACTTTCTATGCGTCCCCGAGGGCAAACCAGCGGTTTATTGAGGAGAGTCCGGAGAAGGACTCTGGTTGGGAGAAGACCGGGTTTAAGTTCTGGATCAACGAGGCGTCCGTTGGGGACTTCGACTTTTCCCGGCTGCCAGCCGAGTTCACGGGCAACGGTTGTTTAGCTAGGCTCGAGTGCTCGTTAGCTGTGTTCGCTTTGGTATGCTCGTCGAGTTTTCTGACCATTCGCTTGTTTTTGTTTATCAGGTCAATTATCCAGAGCACCTGAGGATCTCGATATCGAGCACCGGTTAGAGTTGTTCAGACGAGGAGAAGTTATCTGGAGCACGATCACATGAGAACGAGTCTGACGAGTTCTCACCTCCCCCGTCCCAGCTCCAGTTTTCACGCCCGGTAAGTTTTCTTTGAACTTGTACCTCGACTTTGCTTGTTGGATCGTAATATTCTGACGCAAGGTGGTTTATTTTGCTGGCAGCCGGAGTTCTTCCTCTCCGTTCTATTTTGCCTTCTTCTAGTTCAGCAAGTTCAAGTTCAGCAATGTCTCGCAAGCCCACCTTCCGTCAAAGAGCCGGGAAAGCCCTGGCTGGTCCCAGCAGCTCCAGGGTACGCTCCGGGAGCGTTAAGGAGGCCCTTGAAGCCGCGCTTGCCACAGCTTCTGCTTCTGCCCCTCAACTTCACGACGAAGAGGTTGAGTAGGTGATGGATCCTCAGCCCGACCCTCCTCACAATTCGGTGGGGACGATCTCTGTGAGCTCGGGCAGCCCACTGATGACCAAGAACCCGAGCAGACTTTCCAGCCCGCCTCTAAGAGGCCGAGAGATGATGCAGGAGGTCGCACCGCTGAG